AAAAAAGATTTATATTTACAGTTTTTCTGTTTTGCCATAACTGGCATAAGAAAACAAACTTGTCTTAATGAGTTATAGTGCAATTTTGCTTTGTATACACAATGACTCTGACTTCACTAGTTAACATTTACAACATTGTGTGTATGCTGTGAAAAAAAATATAGGTCAAAAGCTAAAAGTAAGCACTATTTTATTAGGAGTTCGCAGTTTATGATATAAAGACTGCAATGTAAACATCGTCATAATTCATCAACGGTAGATCAAAAGCAATTGCTTGACGTAAATGTGGCCTATTCATCGATTGAGCATCAACTGCTCTGAAAGCATGAGCATGTAGAACATCCAACAGTGGTCCATTTTTACTTTGAAACAAGAAGTACTCACATTTATTTAAATCACTGCCTAAAGTAATCACATTAAGCCATATCGCAATTCCTGTTTTTCGCTACCATATTTAAGACCTCTTGAAATGATAGTTAAGACTTTTCATTTGAGATATTTAAGACTTTTTATTACCTTAAAATTAAATAAAATTTTTAAGGATCCATGGAGAATCAGTTTTTAATAAGCCGAAATCACTGAGGGCACCTTTAAAGAGCATATGAGTGAACTGTTCCAACACAGATGACCTAAATCTAGTATTTTGTATTACAGAATAACAGGAGTAAATCCAATCCATTTGAGACAGAAAAAAAGTCCTTCAGCAGGTAATCCCAAAAACGCATTACAAGTTAAAGGTGCCAAAACAAATAAAATCATGTTGTTCTGAGCCCCATATTATTTTCTTTCCTGTGTTAAACACAAAATATGTTAGGCAGACAAAGTGACACATAATTTTTGATTATACACTATCTTCAGAAATCTTGGAATAACCACCTTACTTTGCAAGGCGGAAGTAATCTATTTTCTGTGAACAAGTGAGACATATGAATGATTAGCCACAATAGGTAAATAACTATAATAATAACAAATAGATTCAAATTAGGATAATAAATTGGAATAATATGGAAAGAAACACAAGTATGCAGCATCTAGGACCATAATGGGCTGTTTTTGTACAGCTAAAATGACTAGAAGCAGGTGACACTAGAAACCTTGCACATTCAATTTACAAATGACCACACATGCTCTTGCATTCAAAATAAGATGGATAGCAAAAGATTAATTTTCTATTAATTGTATGGTGGTTGTTTGCCTTTATAAATCAATATAAATCAGTATAAAACAGTATAAATCACAATAGAATGTCCAGGCTTAAAAAGTGCTTGTGCATTTTTGTTTAATAATGCAGAACAAATGGAACAACATGGTTCTGAGTAAATTACATATAGAAAGATAGAACATAAAAATACCATTTGTCCATTTAGTGTCAGCTGAACTATACATTTACACATGTAACTATATTTAAATTACCTTTTTTTGTAGTGTGAAATGATGTGCCCTTGATATTTAACTTTTTTCACCACTGCCATAAATCCATAGTATCAGTAGCTACTTCAGTGAGATCTCTGCACATGAATCAGTTATTCTAGGTCCAGGTACAACGTGACAGTCTGCCTTTCAAAAACCCCCAGAATGAAACATCACCCCTTTCTGTTAGCTTGTTCCTTTTCTAGCTACCCATGTTTTACTTTCTGTGAAAAAAACTGTCACTTTAGATAATGACTGTGAAAACTAAATCTAAATAAAGGGACATTCTAAACTAATTTTAAGTTTTAACAAAATATTTGGCCCAGGTCACCTTTAGAATGGCTGGTGAGGGCCGATTAGCACAAAATTCCTTGTTGTTATGTTTTATTAGTGGTCGACCGATATATCGCCAAGGCCGATATATCGGCTGATATTTGCCATTTTTCAAATATCGGCATTGGCCGATAAGTTTTTCCTGTTTGGCCGATGCTTTCGAGGCGGGACTTTTATTTTGACGGCGCTGAGAATGGCAGCGTCTGAGCACACAGTGCTCACATTCTCCCTCTTGTTCGCTGTTGTCGTTAACAATTCTGTCTAATACGGATAGAAGTCTGTCTAATAATCAGATAGAACGGTTAAACAAAGGAATTAAAATGTATACAAAAAAGTATTATAACGATTGCTTTTATATTATTAGTAATAGAAAAGCAAACATTATAATAATGTCTCGTTTGCCGTCAGCATTCAGCAAATACGCATTTAAATCATTTGAACAAATCTTTGAATGTTTATTAATGAACATTTAATTTCACAAACTTAGTCGAATCCAGTTGAGATCTTGTGAAGTGTGCATGTGTGTCCTGCATGATCGCGTGTTCTCTGCGTGACGGTCGGTCTGTGCGAATTGAATGCGGACAGGAGGAGAGTTCAGCCTCACTGGAGATGCGTGATTGACAAAATTTAAAGGGGTCATATGATGCGATTTCATTTTTTCCTTTCTCTTTAGAGT